ACAAGGTTTGCGTTCTTTTTATTGCTTTTTATTATTGCTTTCAGCCGCCCCCAAGGCAATTCGTAAATGGGGAGGGAAAACTAGATGGGATCGCTTGAAATGTTCTTCAAATTAAATGGCAACAAATCTTAGAAACTAACAAAAATACAAAATCTCGAATTTTGTCTGACCAACTATCTATATATCTGAAAATGTTCTTAACAACTTAAAATAAGCTAGATCTTTATCTAGCAATTGATTACAGGGTAGCTTTAGTTCGAATACTTACGACATTGTTATTGTAGTTATTTCTGCTATTTGCTTGTTATGATAGCTGCGGAACGTTGAGATTCGCATTCAGTCATATGTTAATATAATTCGCATGCTTTTCTAGATTTATTTATTTATCTTCCTTGTGTTCTTATTTTGCCTCTTTACGCATTTCCTTGGAACTTACCAAACCAGCCAGAATGTATGTACATGTTCGTAAACACATTTGTATTTTAAAAATTTAATTAAATCAACATACGTATATAAGGAAATTATGTTGTTTGGCTTGCGCATTGCGCGAATCCCCGAATTCAAATTCAAAGTGAAAACATTATCAACAACAGAGAAGAGTTCCCAAGTAGCAAGACACCGAGACCGAGGACCAAGAACTGCCAGAGACTGTCTGGGTATTGCTTTTGCTTTTGCTTTTGATTAACATATTTCTTTTATCTGAAGGGAAGCCGAAAGAGCCGAAAGAGCCCGACATCATTTCAAACAAGGGGGGGCTGAAACACTGTGTTGCCTTTGTGCACATGAGCATAATATTTAAGTTATGAAAATGTTCCAAAACATTTTTGTTACCCGACAACAGCCAAGGCAGCAAATCAATATATGTAGCGCTTGTTATTATATATGCACATTTGTATCAATGTATATTATAAAAAAAGAAATGTACATTGGCGGCGAGTCTCCACAGAAAACTAAGAGTTCACAAACACCAAAAGGAAACTTTTTTAATTAAAGCAAAAATGAAACAAAAACAAAACAAAAACAAAAAAACAAAAATAAATAACATTAAAGTTGTTCCACTGACAATATCTTTTCCTGGCCATCAGTCGAGGTCATCAACGAGTCGAATGAATATTTTACATTTCCTTGACGTTTGCTCCAGCTGTTTGTATACCCTAACAAATAAGCAGTACGGAATTTTATGCTGCAAATGTTCGTGAGTTCTAAACTTAACATGTTTCAAATAGTATTTTAAATGATGGTCAATATAAACAAAGACTTTGATGTACATAAGATTATGGCTAGATATAAAGTGTTTCCGTATTTTATATATTCGAATTATTCAACAATTTATGTAACACAATCTATATGATACTTCATTTTCTAGGGTATTTTAACTTCTACTTTGAAGCTAAAGTTTAAAGCACAATCTATAAAGTAATTTATTTATTTAACTTTAAGCTTTGAACTTTAAACACAATCATTTCAAGTTAAAGCTTAAAGCACAATCAATCAAATAATTTATTTTCTAGTGTATTTTAACTTATACTTTGAAGTTTAAGTTTTAAACACAATCTATATGATATTTTATTTACTAGGGCATTTTGTCTTCTACCTTGAAGTAAGTTTCATTCCGTATCCACAACAACTTATGAAAATTATATCAAACATAAACAATTATATATACATATTCCATATATACATATTCCACAGCCTAATTATCTGTGGCTACATTTATAGATGCTTCTGGTTTTTTTATAATCTTGGAGACAAATGGCATTTACTTTTATCATAACCTGCACACATTAGATTTCTTTCTTAGCAATCTTAAAATCGTTTTCAATTTCAGGACCACACAAAAATCGTTTTCAGTGTATCCACAATTTGGCAATTCACACTTTAAGTCCATACTCAGTTCACAAATTGAAAGCGAGCCCGTCCGTCTTGCCGCATAGAACCACTAAATTGACGGCCTCTTCTAAGCTCGGATCTAGGGCATTGTGCAGTCGGTTGCACCCGATTGCAGCATTCTTATTTGTTTACAGTGTATCCACAATTTGGCAATTCACACTTTTAGTCCATACTCAGTTCACAAATTGAAAGCGAGCCCATCCGTCTTGCCGCATAGAACCACTAAATTGACGGCCTTTTCTAAGCTCGGATCTAGGGCATTGTGCAGTCGGTTGCACCCGATTGCAGCATTCTTATTTGTTTGTTGTTGCGCATTGTTTATTTTGAACGATTATTCCGCTTCATTAACGTTAACGGAATTAAATCGCTTAGCTGACAGTCTCTTGTATCGGCGTCTTTTTTTTCTTCTCAAATTTAAAGATATTATAGATTACACTTTGTCTCTAGCCCGGCGCGATTTGGTGGTTTACCAAATCAATTTGCTTTTGACGCCCCAAGCGCTCTTCCGAATGGTTTGCGCTTTTGCCAAGCAATTGGAAATGGACAATATACAAAATCTATAGCAATCGATTAATTTAATCATGAACGAGAGGCTTAAAAGAAAAGCTCTGAGTTCTTTTGAAGAATAAAATAGAATTTAAGTCTATATATGTATATATTATATAGTACAGCTGATTTGGCATCTCTGAGTCCATACTTAATATAGCACTTGTGTCAGTATAGAGTGCAGTTAAGGGAATAATTTATAGAAAATATATAGACATATAAGATGACTGAACAATGTTTAACTTACAGCGTAAGATCTACGATCGTCCTGAACGCTTGGTTTATTGTAAGCATACTGCGTGGAAAATAGGTGGAAGACTAGTGAAATGATTTATCGCCCTATTTTATAGCCCCATTTTTTTAAATTAAGAAACTGATATTTCTTAAAAATAACTGTTTTGATTTTTAGGAATTTAATCTATATATCTTTTTAATTATAGGCGCATTTCTAAAAGAAATACAACATATTTTTCTGAACATAGCTGCAAAATATTGCTGTGAATATTGGCTTGAAAACGTTTTTTTTTTTTTTGTTTATTTTTCATTTGGCGAATGTATATAGAAGTGTTAGCCTTAATGCATGGAGCAAAGGCGGTTTCTAACAGCTCGTAATAATATATAATACCAATATGCCACAGCCCAAAACATGCCTTCAAGCAAAAACCCGCATCTGGGAGAAAATATTCCACATAAACTCTTCTACATACTTTTTCATATGCACCTACTTACTTCCCATGCATGTAATTCTGCGACTGTGATATGTGCCACATTAATATGCAATATGGAGGTGGTGTAGGGGGGTGTGGGGGGTGTTTCATCAAATAAAAATGTTGTTTACAACTGGATTTTTATGACGTGAAATGCGAAGAATCGTAACTGCCCTAGGCGGCCCATAAATAATGGGAAGCGCAGTTTCAAATCGGCCACTAATGGAGGTGCTCGATTGATGATGAGGCAAGAAAATCGCCGCCACTTTATGTTGCATAATATATTGGCTTCCCCAAGAAGGCAGCGCTGCCAGCCGTGATGGGGGGAACGGGGCGAATGTAACTTCTTGTAAGAGCAGTTATTGAAGATGGAGGGGGATTGCGGGTGGAGGTTGGCGTTGCGGGGCAATTGGCAAACATTCTAAAAGTTATTTTGGCAGCTGCTCTTTGTGGACGTAATGTACAAAGTCGTACATACAATTGAGTGCTGTTCCGTTGCTGTTATTGTTATTGTATATTATTATTATTATTATGATTATTGTTATTGTTTTTGCATTTTAAAGCAAATGGACTTTTATGCGTTTTCTCTGTATGTGTCTGGGTATCTCTCCCTCTCTCTCTGTTTGTGTGTGTGCCTAAAATTAGCCCACAATGATTTTGGCAGCCTTTGGCTGTACAATTTGATGCTTCTTTAACTGCCTGTCCGTCGCCCATCAATTTTACTTACTGTACAGGCAGGCCTCTGAGCATTCGCGCGCATAAAAATACAAATTTCCGCATAAATTACCAGCTCAACAATTTTTGATGGGCTTTCTTCTTCTAGTTGCTGCTGTTGCTGCTCTTGTTGTTGTTGTTGTTGTTGGTTTTGCTTATGTGTAAACATAATTGATGCGTTTACGTAAACATATACATATATATATATATATATATATATGTGTGTGTGTATACAGAAAACTGCTCTTCATAACGCCAAAGATTTAATACTCTTGTAGACAAATTTGGCAAAGTTTCTTTTATGGCGGCTAGACAACTTCCATAATATATTATTTATGATTCTTATGACCCGATTTGGTTGGTGCTTATAAAATTACATGCCCCGATGCACCACAACTACAACCATACCATAACTATACAATGTTCCCATCATTAAATATTGCAGTTTCCTTAATTTTCATATAAATTTTATATGCAGAAGAAGCTGTGCCAGATGCTAAATATAACCTGGGGATAAATTAGGAAAAAAAGGAGCTTGGGATATACTGGACGCAGGCGAGGTTCATTTCGCACAAAAGCCTAAAAAAAACATAAATATTATTATAATGATATTATACTACACCTAAAGGGTATACAAATTAGACTGTCGTACAACTCGGCAAGCTTTAAAATGTGTGTGTTTATTTTTTTTTAAATAAAGTGACCATGGAGGACAGATAGAGTGGAAAAAAGCAGCAGCCCAGCAGCGATAAGGCTATGAAATATGACGGCCAAAAAGGGCTTACAAAGTGGGCTACATTTATATCCAGGGCAGGCAAGCCCAGCAGCATCTAGCCTTGCATTGTCAGCTGTGACGTCATGCGTGGAATGACCTATATACTCACGTACACACACACACACACACACATACGTATATATGAATTCAGTTATAATTATCGTGCATTCAATCATAATGACGATTCATATATGCTCCGCTTTAAAGACTCAAATTGAAGCCAGCTCACAGCTAAAGTCGAGCCATTCATGATTAGAGCTGACCTCTAACCTTGAAGCGGCTGATAAGCCGCAACGTTAGAAATGTGAAACTACGCATTGAGGCGTTGATAATGATGCGAATTTTAGCTTAGCTTATGCCCAGAGGCAGTCGCGTTCCAAATACCCAACATCGAAGACGTGCGAATACGTAGTTGCTCTGCCAAAATGAAACTATTGCCAATCCTGATGCTCTGCCTGGGCCTTTGTCTCTGCGTCTGGCCAAGGGGTGGCCAGGCGTTGCGTCTGCAGCAGCGACGCGAGGCCAGTGCGGCGCCAGAGCCGCTGCTGAATGCGGAACTGGATGCGGATAACTTTGACGACGATGTGTCGGATGAGTCGGAGCTGCCGGAAAAGTTTGTGTCGGATGCCACGACCACACTGAAGCCGCTGGGCATTGTTTCCATCAAGTCGCGGGCAATTGCCATGGATCGCGCCCTGTGCCAGGAGCAGTCACGCTACCATCCGCACTATCCCAAGTGTCATCAGTACTGCAAGAAGCTCGAGCACTGGATTGGCCAGTGCTGGCGCGAGAGCTGCCACTGCATCTCCTAAGGCGCCACCAGCCACCAGCCACGAGCCAGCAGCCACAGCTGCAACTTCAGCCCAAAACTTTGTACTTACATAATTATAAGATTTGTTTCACTAACTTCTAATTACTCACACTTATCTCTGTTTGCACATGGCTTCTCCACTTGTTACTCACACTTATCTTTGTTTGCCTTTTCACTTAGCCATAATTGATTTATGCCTTTAGAATTTCGATATTCAAGATGTGCTTATTAAATTTGCAACGCATTCGAGCTTGATTTCATGCAGATGAACTTCATTTCCGTGTGCCTAATTAAAAAGTTTTTAACAATATTTTGAGCTCGGTATTATCTTCAGTTCATATTAACAAGTGGATAATTAGTTGAGCTTTAGTTCCGTTCCGTGCCCCGCTTAGAACTATTTCAATTACGCTTAAAAAGTGGTTCACTCAAAGTTCCTTAAATACTTATTAAAATGGTAAGAAATACTTTGCATTCATAAACTTACATAGTTCATCAACGGTTCATAAGTAGGTCGGCGTCTTATCACAAAAAATTCTTAAAACATGATGCCGCTTCCAACCTGAAATTTCAATTTATATTCTACCGTGAACCAAAACATAAACAAAATCATATATTTTTTTAAAACGTCTTGGCTTAAATTCAAAAATTTAAAGGAAGAGCCAGCTCCAAAGTACAAATAACTTTAGTCCCAACCCTTTGATAGATCTAACCCTACTTAGCTGCTGCTAATATTGGGTAAAAATAAAATGTAGCCCGCATTTTGCATATTTAAGTATTTACGACTTCCAATATTTGCAGTACAATGGGCAATAATAACGTAAAATAAAAGGGTTTCATTAAAGATTTACGATAAATCAAGGTTTGAACCACAATCAAAACCTGAGCTTATGGATGTGGGAAGCTAGGTTCATGAACTGAACTCAAAGGTAGGGAGTTGGTTCGAACCGTGAACCGAACCACCTAAAGTGTTTGTTGTTTATGCAGCCCTGGTAACTATATTTCCGCTTAAAGCTTGGTTATTTTAGTTAGGTACAATGAACATAACCTAAAACTAGTTCAAAAACTGTTCAAAATAGTTAATAGAGAATCATACAGAAACAATCCCAAGCTTTATCTAGATATAAGTGATGTGGAATTTTACATATGTATACATTCTATGGCAATTAAAATAGCTTGCAAACAGATTAAAATACAGTTGTAAATTGATTTATAAACGTTGCACGATTAGCTTAAAATTGGTTCAATCAAGGCTCGAAAGTGGCTGGAATGCGCTCTAGTTCCATAGGTCATATTGTGTTTAAAATTGGTTCAAAAATGTTCCAACTATCACATCGGTGGGCGTGGCAGCATGCTTTGATATGTGCATATGTGAGTGCGGACAAAAATGAAATCCGCACATTTTGCAAGTTTCGCCCGAATGTCCAGACCCACACGCATGCATATGTATGCACGAGTGTGTGTGTGTGTGTGAAGTGTGTGAAGTGTGTGCGAATGTGTGTTTGCATCTCTTTCATATGCTAATTTAATAGTAAGCAGTGGCAAAAATACGCGCCCAGTATATGACGAGGGGGGACAGCGAGACGGACAGTAAATGGGGGACATTTCTGAATGTGCACACATGTAACGAGTGACAGTTACTAATAGCACACACGCACACACCCACACACACACACACACGCACTGTTTGTGGGTGTGCGATGTTGTTCTTGTGATGTTCTTGTTGTACACAGCAAGCACACAATATGCATATTCATGAACTAAGTGGCTGCATTTCAGCGCGCCATTTTCAAAAGCTTCTTTGTGCAAATTGTGAGCATTAAAACAAAACAAAAACAAAAAAATTATTTTCTGTAGCATTTTTTTTCTTTTTGTAAGCATTAGTTTCTTTTGGGACAGTTACAGTGCTGCTAAAAGTATGCACCAGACGTCATTTGTTTGTAATACATATGACTTAAATTATAATTATGTTCATGCATTCGTTGTCATAAGTACAGGATATACATATACCAGTTTCTAGTTTGTTGTAACTGATCTTTTGTGATTTAGTTAAGCTATTAAGATACAAACCATGGACTTTAATCTTTGAATACAGTTTGTAACATATTTATATGCTAAATGTGTGGCTAGAGACGAGTGCTCCAATAATAACCTCTATCTAGGGCTTCGATTTTACCAAGTATTACCCACGATACTCTACACTATACTCAAATTTTAAATTTTATTGATTTAATATTTTCGAGCATTACAATTTTTATACCCTTGCAGAGGGAAAGATCCGTCGAAAATTAAGTTTTTGTATGGAAAATTTTTATGTGTTTCAAGATATCCTGACCAAACTCGGTATTTATTAGTTTTTCTACACTCCCCATATATATGCAAAATCCTATTAAGATCGGACAACTATATCATATAGCTGCCATAGGAACGATCGGTCGAAAATTAAGTTTTTGTATGGAAAATTTTTATGTTTTTCAAGATATCTTGACCAAACTCGGTATTTATTAGTTTTACTACGCTCCCCATATATATGCAAAATTCTATTAAGATCGGTCAACTATATCATATAGCTGCCATAGGAACGATCGGTCGAAAATTATGCTGTTGTATGGAATTTTTTTTGTTTTTCAAGATATCTTGACCAAACTCGGCATTTATTAGTTTTAGTATGCTCCCTCCACTTATGCAAAATCTTATTCACATCGGGCTACTATATCATATAGCTGCCATAGGAACGATCGGTCGAAAATAAAGTTGTTGTATGGAAACCTGTTTTGTTTTTCAATATATCTTAACCATACTCGGCATTAACTATTTTCCCTGTGCTCCTAGATACGGGCAAAGCACTATGAGCATTTTGAAAAGGTTGGGTCTGCAAGGGTATTAAATCTTCGGTGTGCCGAAGATAGCACTTCTTTCTCGTTTATTTTTTTTTTATATATTTGTTATATTTTGTATATACTGTCATTTTAACCAAAGAATAGATCACCGCTTTTTTTTTTGATAATGCTATCGATAGTTTTGCAGCACTATCGAAGCTGTACGCCGATAAGGCTAAAAGTGAAACTGTGAAATTATCAAATAATCATTTGCTCCCCTTTTTTTTAACAATTTATTTCAATATTAGAATAAATAATATATTTTGTCAGAAACTTAAATAGATCTGAACTTTTGCCATAAATATAACTAAAAGGGAAATCCACAGAGCTACTAAATTGGAAAGTGTGCAACTGCTATTGCGATATCTGTCAGGCCCTAGTCAGAGTCAGTAGCTGGTATCAATTAAAAAGGCATCCAATAAATGATTATCATCGGTTGACATAAACAAGAAGCGACGTGGATGGCAACATTATTAGCCCGTTTGATTGATCTGATTGTGTGGCCATTCAAATTTAATGAGCTACGAGAAATGCCAGAAATATGCCCAAACATTAGATATTCTAGCTGAGCTCCGAGTGTGACATGGATGTGAACCAAATGATGGCAAATGGCAAACGCCAAATGGCATGTGCGTAATATGTTTGCATGCTCTACAAATGATGAACCTCTAAAAAGATGACAAGCATGTCCCTATTGAATGATAAAGCTTCTCAATTTGAAATCGTATAAACTCTATGTATAAATGATATCGTTGATTGGTTGATATCGAACAAGTATTTAAGTATATACGAGATTAAGCTAGATTGTAAGCTAGATTGGAGCACTTAATCATAGAGCTATGTATTTCATATGGTTTTGGCTTAAAAAATTAATTTCCAGACTGGATATTTGTTAGTTTCTGTGACCTCTTAGCTATAAGCAATATCGTATCAAGATTGAGCTACTATATAAAATAGGTCTATGTAAAGAACAGATGGAGACATCAAGTCTTAGCATGGAACATGGAACATGGACCAAGCCCAGTATTAAAACGAACTATATCATATGCCCCGCAAAGAAATAATCCGTCGGAAATAAAGTTTGCATATGAAAGAATTCCTTGGCCGCATTCTAAAAGAGAGTATTTAAAGTTCGGCTTGCCGAAGATAGTCGTTCTTTCTTGTTTTTAGCTATGTTTGCCCAGCATTTGTGCAGTTTATTTTTTGTGGGTCCGTTCAACTGATTTAGCTCAATAATGCGACGCGTCTCTCACTTTGACAAGGGTCGCAGCAGCAGCCGTAACAGCACTTTCACAGCCGTTGTCAACAAAGAGCAAAACCAACAACAACAAAAACAATAAGTGGCAGTGGACAGCGAACACGAGTTCGTTATCTTTGCCGCAATGTTAACACTGCCACACTTTTTCGAGGGCTGGCAACGCCGCACTCGCACCGCCTGTTAAACGTTAAAGGAAGTGGCAAAAAGGGAAATGTTGCCAACTAGAAAAGTTGATCAAATAATTTTTAAATATATAAATGTTTAATAAGAAAAGCTTATTTACTTACAATTACACAATTTTTCCTATATTTGTGTTTATTTTCCTTACATATATATTATGTATTAATTCGCTTTGTTTATGGCATGTGAAAAAAATTAAGGAAAATATAAGTAAAATATTTCATATCTATATAAGTATTTAATATATACCCTAGCCATGAAACATCAATCTACATTTATATTCAGTTGGTTTATCATTTATTAATGGATATAAGATACATTTTTTATAGATTTTCAAAAAAGTGCTTTTACAAACTTGTGTATTTGAATCCTACCTTGAATCCTACATATTACAAGACTTGGGTAAGGGTAAAACCTTATGAAAACTATATTTTGTTATCAAAAAAAATAACAAACACACACTGACACAAAACTTAACTTTGGATTCTTTAAACATGGAACAATTTTAAAAGTACCTTTCAATTTTGATACTGTGAGAAAATTAAAAAAAAAAATCCTTAAAAATAGAAATTTTGGAAAATGGATATGACACTGACGATACAATAATTGAATGATTTGGTAAATTTGCCGAAGATAAAATTATCGTTACCAAGTACGATATTCCCACACAGATATGTTCGCGAGTCCAGATACCTTACTTCCGAGCCTATGTTTACTTATGCTTATACAATACTACACTCAAAAGGTCGCTTACAAACAAACAAAAGGAAAGATCTATATATATATACACACACATATATATATATATATATACACAGATATATGGCAACGCAAAACTGGCTAAACTGGTTCGTAATTTTGTGGGTTGCTTGGATCATCGATTTTTTATAGAGTGTAGGTCGACTTAACATTGGAGCCCTGCTTGACCATTGTGTCCTTATGCAGTTGATATTGCAGCACATTCTGGGGGCCCAGGCGGAGAGCATCGCGCAGCTT